AGGAGAACCCCTGTGGCCTCGGTGGCCCCTGGTTGATAGTTGCAACAGGAACATGCTGATGGAGGCATGCAGCTTAGGAGTGGGTGATCAGGGCTGAGAGAGAGGCCTAGGAGATGACACGCTGGCCAGTGACAAAGGTAATGATGTTGAAGCGAGGCCATAAAGTGCGTGGCTATGGACAGGTGTCTGTTTGGCATAGTGGTTTGGGTGAGGAGGTGGAGTATATGGGAAAGCCTCCTGTTGAACTTGCAGCCATCAGCACATTGTAATCAAATGCACCAATATTTCGTCACTATGAAAACATCACGAGGGTTTTTGTTTGTCTGAGACAGTCTCACTCTGGAATGCAGTGGTGTGATCTCAGCTCACTGCAACCTTGACCTCCCGGGCTCAAGTGACCCTCCTGCCTCAGCCTCCCGAGTAACTGGGATAGAAGGTGTGCACCACCATGCTTGGCTAATTTTTGTGTTTTGTAGAGATAAGGTTTTGCTATGTTGCCCAGGTTGGTCTAGAACTCCTAGGCTCTAGTGATTCTCTCGCCTCAGCCACCCAAAGTGCTAGGATTATAGGCATGAGCCACTGTGACCAGCCATCGTAAGGGTTTTGAGGTATGAAGGAAGGAAAAGAAAGAGAAAGAAAGGAAGGAAAGAAAAGAAAGAAAGAAGGAAAGAAAAGAAAGAAAGAAAGAGAGAGAGAGAAAGAAAGAGGAACGAAGGAAGGAAGGAAGTAAAGAAAGGAAAGAAAGAATGAATAAACAGAGAAAAGAAAAAAGAAAGAAAGGAAGAAAAAAAGAAAAGAAAGAACCCAATGCAACCTGACTTAAGCAGAGAAAATAATTTGCTGGCCCATGTTGCTTAAACAGCTGGACTTGGCTTTAGGCCCAGTGAGGTATCTGAGCTCAAACAGTAGCCATCAGGCCTTAGTCTCCCTCCATCTGCCAGTTCAGCTGTGTCTTTGTGGTGGCAAGGATCGCTCAATGTCCCATCCTCTCAGCAACCCCCAAGAAGACAATTTCTCGCCATGGCTTTGAAAAACGTCCCAGCACCGAGCTTCATCAGCCTGGCCCAGCTCACCTGTCTGTCTTTGAGGCCAGAGGAACGGAATGATTGGGCTGGCCTGAAGGGGAAAGTCAGCAGTCAGTTCTAGCCAGAATGGGGCACAGATGGCTGCCGGATGCCCAGCAGGACGGATGTAAGAAGGCAGAACAGCCGATGTCCATTACGGGTCATCCTGTCTGGGACATTGGGCCTGGCACAGGAACAGCTGGGCTCCCAGAAAACTTAGGGGTCAGTCACGCACTGGTGATTTTGGAATAGTCTCTTCTGCTCTAAAGCTCCGGGGGCAGGTGTGTGAGGGGTCAGAGGTGGAGTGTGGGTTGTTGGTGAGGTCCTGCCCAGAGACCAGTGGACCTCACCTTTCCCATCTGCAGGCCCTGTTCCTTCAGTCTTGGACTCTGGCTCCCGTGGTTGTGGGTTATGGTCCATGGGTCATGGAGTCATGGCATAGATAAGCTCTGTCCTTCTCTTCTTCTCTCCTGCATACAATCAAGGGATGAAGTCACATCACCCACCTCAAAAGCATCAGAGACCCTGGTCTTTTCCAGCAGCCTGAGAGGCCTGAGACTTCCGCGGCTGGTTCTCTGAGCACAGGAGTCCCTGGGGGCTGTTGTCCCCAGCCACTTCCCCTCTTCAGGCCATCTCTAATGTTCAACCCTATCTGAAATCCTCCCTGGAAATGCCAGGGCTGAGCATTCCAGAGATGGGGGTGTCAAGATTACCCCTCCGGGGCTAAAAGAAGCACACACCACAACATGGAAGACAGCACGCCTTTATTTCAGCCACCCTCCCAGGACCCAGAGAGCACGGCACATGCCCTGGTATCCAGGGTGCAAGGTCCAGAAGAGCCCAGGGAACACAGCCCAGCAGTGCAGTGTCACAAATCCCTGCCAAGGAGCAGTTCACCCCACCTCCTCAAAGGGAGTGCCGGGAGTCCACTGCAGATGGGACAGGGAGCAGGGCCCAGGACCTGAGGAGCAGCACACACCAAAAAAAAAAGGCGCCGGGTGAGCCCCGGGACACGCTGTAGAGTCTCTGCTGTGGATTGAAGCAGCAGCTATGAGAGGTCCCTGCTTTGGCCATCACTGCTCTGCCAGCTACAGAGCCATCTCCAAGGCAAGGACAACCCCGAGTGTGGGCTCCTGGCGCAGGCCAGCTGGCAGAGGTAGTGTAAACACATCTGAAGGTGGGGGATGCCCAGTGCCAAGCCAGGCCCTGGTGCTCTCATGCGCTGGGAGGTGCCCAGTCCCCAGGAACAGCGTGGGGAGGACTTGAGTCAGCAGAGCCCTGAGACTGGATAACTGACTGCGTCCAGGAAATGAGATTTCCAGAGAAAGGATGGAAACTGCAGAGAAAGGCAGGGAGAGACTGCCAGGCAGAAAGGGGACTGTGAGGACACAAAGAGGAGAATAGGGCAGAGAGGGAGACAGGAACAGAGAAAGGAGAGGCTGAGGCTTCATCTTTTCCCTTCTCTTCTCCCACTAGATCTGTGAACTCTGGGGTGGGGGTTCCCCAAGTTCTTCTAGCTGGGGAGGGGTCGGGGCTCTTCTCCCCATCAGATCTGGTCACTTGAGCTCGAGGCCAGCCTGGGAAGGAGGCTGAGTGAAGCTGGGAAGGAACCGGCTCAGCCCTGCCCACTCCACTTCTACCTCAAACTGCGTCTGCCCTCTGGCTCATCCTCCTTGCTTCTGGGAGGAGCCCTGCCCAAGCCTGTCCCAGCTAATCTCTCTGCACCGAATCCTGGACTCTTCCTTGAGGCTGCCGAAATCTCACACCATTAACTATTCCAGGCCCTTGCAGGCAGGGATAGAGGGAAGGAAGGGGAAGGGCAGGAGGGTCGGTACGGGAGGGAAGAGACAGGAGACTGAGAGCTCTATCCACATGGTCAGGCCCAAAGCCAGAGATGTGAATCTGCCCTTCAATCTCTGGGACCTAAGTACAGAGAAAATCTTAAAATCTTCAAGAATGTAAATAACTTTTAAAAATTTGTGTGTGTGCATGTCTGGGTTTGGTTTTGTTTTTAATCTTTAATTCATCATATTCGAACACAATTTAAAATGTTTTTGAAATTGCGCTAAATTGCTCTCTCTAGCAACATTACCTTAGGTAACCAGAACTTACAAGTGCTAGATTTTCGATGTTTGATACATTCTTCCTTTACCTTTAGGAAGGAGGGGAACACCACTAAGCCTGTGGAAGTCATGAATCAGTTAAAAAAAAAAAAAAGGCAAAGCTCCCTCCAGGAGCCCCTATAATCCTAATACCTGCTAAAGAGTCCCAAGCTCAGTGTCTGCAGGCACCAGGAAGGAATATAAAGGAATGTTCAGAAAATCTTGGTGTCTCGGAGTCTGTGGGGAGTGGTGATATCTGGATAAAGGGGACTGTTACTCTTTAGCCGCAGCAGAATGTGGTTAAGTGGTGACACAAACCCCATGTGAGGCTTCCGATTTCAAGAGAAGGGGGAAATCTATACATTTTTAAAATGTGGAAGCTCTTGATTTTTAAACGTTAGCTCAAAATGAAACACTCCATAGGCCAAACAAAACAAGTTTAGTGGCTAGTTTCCAGCCTGGCTTTATGAGACCCTTAGAGATTCTAAGATTTAAAGATCTTAGGGTGATTTAGTTCTATGATTCAGAAACTTTAATGAGCATGTCAATATTTTGCAGGAACTTGTTAAAATGCAGATCTTGACTCAGCAGGTCTGGGGTGGGGCCCTGAGATCCTTCATTTCTAACGATTCGCAGGCAATGCTGACCCTGGCCCAACAACCACACTTGGCGTCGTGAAGGTTTAGTTCCAGAATTCCCTCTCACTGTCGTACCCCTGGTCAATGATGTCTCCAGTTCTGCCTTCACCCCTCCAGGGACTGGATACTCACTACCTCTGGTGGCAGCCTAGGTGGTTTCCTAGCCTACTACAAACTTCTTCCAGGTTCTGTAGCAAGGGTGACAGACACCGAGAGTCAAGTGTGCCAAGGCCCAGGCTCTAGAAGGTCAGAGTTTCCCAAAGGAAACCAGCTGGGGACTTGCCAGGACAGGGCATTGGTAATTGTTGCGAAGATCTAAGCAGAGGTCAGGCGTGGTGTCTCACACCTGTAATCCCAGAACTTTGGGAGGCCAAGGTGGGCAGATCACTTGAGGTGAGTTCAAGACCACCCTGGGTAACATAGTGAAACCCCGTCTCTACTAAAATCACAAAAAAAAAAAAAAAAAAATTTACGCAGGCTTGGTGGCAGGTACCTGTAATCGCAGCTACTCGAAAGGCTGAGGTAGGAGAATTGTTTGACCCTGAGAGGAGGAGGTTGCAGTGAGTCAAGATTGTGTCACTGCACTGCACTCCAGCCTGGGTGACAAAGTGAGACTCAAAAAAAAAAAAAAAAAAATTGCTAAGTAGAGAGGATTTTCTGTCCAACTGCTTGCTCAGCAGCTCCCAGTTAAACAGAGAATGCTGCTCTTCTTTGGGTGTTCTGGTTAGTCAAGGTGTGGTGCAATTTCCTTTCCCCAAAGCCTTGAAGCAAGCTTTTCTCTGCACTTGGGCATTACCTGATTGTGCCACAGGAGAAGGAGCCAGTTTCTGACTGGTGGGAGATGGAGATAGGAATGAAGCTTGAGGCTGAACAGAAGCCCTTGCCCGCTCAGGCCATGTGACAAATCCTGCTCTGGTGGAACAGAACTCCACTTCCTCTGGGGTTTCCACTTCCTCTGGGGTTGGGGTATCAATCCCAGATCCTCCTTCCTGGGTCCTTGAGAGACACTGGGAAGCGGAGAATCCCTGACCCTCACATCCCCTGATGGACTCAGGGTTCCTGGTGCTGAGGGCCACAGCCACCCAGCTGTCAGGGGCACAGGGGCCACGGGAACCATTTAGGCCACCCCTCATTTTGCCACTGAGGGGATCACAGCAGACAGTGCGTGACACTTTCCCAAGGTCACGTGGCTGGTTTGCAACCAGCTCTTATAAAGGCCCAAAATCCTTTGAGGCAGAGCTGGGCAGAGTCCACCAGCATTAGCCAGACTTCCAGTCACCTATAGCAGCAACTTTCAGAAAAAGGACCTTCCAGAACAATCCTGAAGAAAAGAAAGGTATCTCAGAGGGAAGTTGAGGAAAGGGGTCATGGGGTTCACCTAGGAAGGAGCGGGTCACGGGTCAGTTTCTTGCAGGAGGGGAGTGAGCAGGGCTTCTGCTTTCACATTGTCCTCTGGTGACTGCTGCCCCCTAGAGTTGTCTCCTGTGCAACGCACAGCCTGTGAGGCTTCTGGGGAAGCCAGGTTTATGTGATGGGGATGAGATAGGGCCAGGGAAGGGGTCACAGAAGGCCCCAATTATAGAGTTTCCTAAGCCTGGATTCCCAGACCACTCCAGACCTACTGAGGCAAAATTTCTACAGCGGTTGCTTGCCTGCCAGGGGAAGCCCTGGGGTTTAGGAACCAGCCTCGGCTCTCTTAAGTCAGAAAGGGATTGGGACACCTGGCTTGGGTGGGACGTTCTGCAGGCAGCAGAGGAGACGCGGCAGCTGGGGTGGGGGCGGAGGGGGCAGCACCTGTCCAGGACGGGCCTCACTTCTCAAGAGAACTGGCCCGGCCGCGCCTTCTCCAGCTTCCGTCGCCGCTCGGGTGGGATCTCCTGCAGGCTGATGCCGTGGTTGCTGGAGCTGCAAGGAGCGGGTGGTGACCTCAGGGAAGGGGAATGGGGCGTGGGAGGCAGGGCCCACGTCATCGCTCTCTCACGCGCGGGGGGTCAGACACCGAGCCGGAGGCAGCGGTTCCTCGTCCCTCGCCCTGCCACGGAGGCCAGCCACTCACCCCGGTTGCAGGTCAGGCGGTTTGGGGATGGGCTTGTTGAAGCCGCGTCTGCCCACTAGCCAGAAAGTGTCCTCGGCGCCCTTGCCCTGGGGAGACATGGGAGAGGGAAGGACTTAGGCGGACTGGGGTGAGGGGTGGGGGATCTCGAGGTCTGGATGGAACTGGGAGAGCAGGTCAGGAAGGGTGAGCTGAGGTTGCAGCCGTGGCCCGGGATGGGCGGGGCCTCAGGACAGGGCGGGGCCTCCAGGAGGGGGCGGGGTCCTGCCTCACCTTCAGCTCCGTGCGGCCTCGCAGCTCCACCTGGTAGCCCGAGTCCAGAGCACGGAGAATCCCCACGGTGCTCAAGTTCACGTGGATGCGGTAAGCTGTGGCGGTGGGGGACGCCGTGAGCTCGGGACTCACCTCCCGTGTCCCCCTCCCACCTCCCCCTCTTGTCCCCGTCACACTCACGCAGCCCGGTGGACTCCATGCGTGAGGCGGTGTTGACCGTGTCCCCAAACAGGCAGTACCGCGGCATGGTGAGGCCCACCACGCCTGCCACGCATGGACCTGTGGAGATGCTGGGGGTTGGCGGGGCTAGCAGGACCGGCAGCTGGGCTGCACGTAGGTAGGGCCTTGGAGGATCTTCGCACCCATAACCTCCACCAGCTCCCCAAATAAGCCTTGTTAAGCGCATCCTCTTCAAGATAAGCCCCACTCTCCCCTCCATGAGTTGCCTCCTCTACAGGAAATCTGGAGCCAGGCCCTAAAGAGGGAGATGGGCTGGAGCCTGGGAAGACCCGGGAGTTACCTGAGTGCAGGCCTATGCGAATGCGCACGGGAACCTCAGGCATATGGCGCATGCGGAAAGTGCCCACAGCACTGAGGATGTCCAGCGACATGTTGGCGATCTCTGCCGCGTGTCGCTGCCCATTCCTCTGGGGCAGCCCCGAGGCCACCATATAGGCGTCCCCTATTGTCTCCACCTGGGGGAAGAAGGAGTTGTGTGAATTCCGTGAGTATTCCTCCCCCGTACACAAAGCGATTGCCTCTTGTCACGGGGTCCACCTGGGGTTAGTGCAGAACCAGGTTGCTAGTGGAGGGACTGAGCTGGGGACTGGAGGAATAAATAAGGGACAGGAGGTCTGGGAAAGAAGACTGATTGGGCAGGTAGGCTAGCGGCAGAGCAGGAAGGGCTGGGCTGGAGGCTGGTGAAGCTGAATTGAAGGCCAGGAGGGCTTGTCCCCTACAAACTCCACCTTGTAGACATCGTGGGAACCAATGATGGCATCAAACAGCGTGTAGAGGTCGTTGAGCAGGTCCACCACCTCAATGGGCTCACTCATGGCAGAGATGGTGGTGAAGCCCACAATGTCACTGAAGTACAGTGTCACTTGCTCAAAGTATTCGGGCTCCACTGGTGTCCCCGTCTTCAAGGCCTCAGCCACAGACCTAGGGATAGCAGGCAGTGAGGTCACCTGGGGGCCACTCTGCCTGGCTGGGTTCCAGCTGCCCTCCCAGCCCACCCCTTCCCACTGGCACCCACGGAGGCAGCATCTGTGTAAGCAGCCGGTCTGTCTTCTGCTTTTCCAGCTCCAGCTCCTCTGTGCGCTCCCGGATCAGATCCTCCAGGTTACTGGAGTACTGCTCCAGCATCCGAAGCATCGAGTCAATGATGTTCGTCTTCCGACCCTTGTTGATGTTCTTGAACTAGCAGTAGAAGGAAGCTGGTGAAGCTGCTGAAGACCTGGGCTGCCATGCCCTTTTCATGCCCCCCTCATGGGCCCTCTCACGGGGCTGTTCACTCTGAACACCCCCCTCCCCACCACCGTTCATCTACTACTCGTCAAGCACCCCTGGGGTGCTAGGCACTGTGTTTTCAGACATGATTAGGAGGCACGTGGGAAATGAGGCTTCCCAGAGGGCAGTTGTTCTCAGCTAGTAATTGACAGGGCACTGGAGCCAGCCCAATCCTTGGATTCCCAGGCCAAGGGTCTTTCTGTCACAGGAGGCCAAGCACATACTTGGTTCTCAATCAATGTTATTTGAATTGAATTGAATATTCCTCCCACCCAGACAGAACTCCATGTCCCACTCCAAAGGCCTCCACAGCCTCCATTCTAATTCTGCCCCACCAAACCCCAAGTCCTCAGGCTACTCCTTAGGAGGCAGCCTGGAAGGCCAGAGGTCCTGCCAGCCTGCCTGCCTGCAGCTGTCTCAGGTTGCTGACAAGCAACTGGGATCCCAGAGGCCAGCCCAGTCCTTGCCCACTCCCAGCCCCTGACCAGGTCGAAAGTGTGGTCCATGGAGGGCCGAAGTTCCGGCTGCTCTGCCCAGCACTGCTTCATCAGGTGGATACACTCGACAGGTGCCTGGTCCATGGACACCAAGGGTCGACACAGTGGAGGGGGGCTCCGCACCCTCTGCACCACTTCTGGAGGCATAAGGGGACAGTGAGGGGGAGTGCCCTAGAACACAAGCTGCCTCTGACCCTGGCCTGACTGTTGAAGACCAAGATGTGGGAGGGGGTGCCTGGCAGGGGTTTCTTTACATCAGAGCTTCAGTGTGTGTGTGTGGAGGGAGAGTACGGTGTGGAAGGGGGTTGCTAGGAGGAACAAGAGGACCTCAAACTCTGGGGGTCAGTAAGAGGGGACATAGGCAAAGAAACTAACATTTATTGTACGTAAGACAAGTGAGTAATAAGTGATCAAGTAGCTTGCTCAGAGTCCCGTGGAGAAGGGATGTAGATTGGAACCAGATTGGACTACCCTCTTACCCACTCCCCCTCCCCTGGTCCTCCCAGGGACCCCTGAGAACAGAGAGGAGCCTGCTCTGTCAGTTGTGGGAGCAGTTTGGGACCAGGATCAAGACAGAGGAAGCTGTTGTGTTGGGACCTCATGAACCACCCTCCCCACCCTGGCCATGCACGGCTTTCTGTACTGGGACCCGCAGACGGCAGCTTTAAGGGGCCTCCGTATAATTGAGTTTCATCACTGGGCTTTGCTTTAGAGGAAAGAGTGAGGCTGGCTCTGTTCTAACTGCAGGGTGACCCTCTGGCCCGAACTCCATGCACAGGGCAGCCTTACCCTCGGGAGTGAGCTCCAGCATGGCGTAAGGGGCACTGCGGCACACCACTTCTTGCATGATGATGGCCAAGCTAAAGACGTCACCAGCCAGCGTTCCCCGGCGTTCCAGGGCCGGGTCCCTAAGCAGCTCCGGGGCTGTCCACAGCTGGTCTGGGGATGGGGAAGGGGCTGTGGGGCCGCTGGGGAAAGACTCCCACCCTCACCAGAAAGCCCAGGTTGGCACCCAGACACCACCAACCCTGCAGCCTGAGACCAGCCCTACAACTATCTCTAGGAGCCGTCTCAGAGAAAGCCTGGCCCTCACGAATAGGCCTTGCCTTTCAGATAAGGTGGTGCCCAGGGAAGGCTCCGTCTCTTGAGCGCAAGCCCCACCCTCAGGCAAACTTCCAGTTAGAGCAAACCCAGCTGCAGGCAGCTCAGGCACAAGTCCCGCCCCCAGCAGCCCCGTCTCCTCAGTCACAGAGCCCACCCTCTCAGAGGCCACGAGATCTTTTTCTGTAGCAGTTGTGTCTGGTGGATGCGGGATGGAGAGAGCGCGAGGGCGGAGGTAGGGGGGAAGCAGGGGAGAAGCCCTGGAAATAATGGGGATCCCGGTGGATGCCCGTCTGCGCAGGGGACTCTCACCCTCTGCTCTGGGAGGCTCCGGTGGCACCTTCTGTGCTTCCAGCAGTCTCCCGTGGCCGTGGTCCGTGATCTTGAGTACGAATCTGCCATCCACTATGCAGTTCCGTGACTTCAGCCGCCCATGAGCGACGCCTCGATGGTGCAGATACCTTATTCCCTTGGAATGGGTAGGGTAAGAGGCAGCCTCAGCCTGCTTGGTTCCCTTGCTCCCCATCCCTGCCCCCAGGACGTCACCCCACCACCCCCCGACACACACCTTGATCAGGTCCAGCAGGAGGGAGGACTTGAACATCCAGTCCAGCTTTATTTCCCTCTGAGCGAGGAGGTCCTGGAGGGAGCCCCGCGTGCAGTGCTCTGAGACCACAGCCAGGTTGCCCTCCCAGAGGGCCGCAGGGCCTTCTGCTCCCCGAGCCAGGAAGAGCCCCAGGTAGAGGGCCACGTTCTCGTGCCGGAGCTCCTGGAGCTGAGAGGGGGATAGTTGATTGGCATTTTGTGCCCGGGGCAATGTGGGGAGGCGCTGTTAATCAAGATCTGTTTCTGAGTATCCAAACTCAGAAGATGAGATGTGTACAAATGGTGGATGAAATGGTTGATAGGGTATGTAGGGGGGCTCTCTTCTACACACAGTTCTCTTTTTGGAAAAAACAATATAGTCAAAGGCCACTGTTCGGATACCGAGTATAGTTTAGCCTAATGCCATGAATGAAAAGACAATTTTGCATTGGTGATCAGGACCCAGGCAGGTTCAGATTTATTGATCATAAGCCCTTGTTTTTTTTTTTTTTAAAGACACGAGGTCTCACTCTGTTGCCCAGACTGGAGTGTAGCGGCATGATCATAAATCACTGCTATCTTGCATTCCTGGGTTCAAGTGATCCTCTGACCTCAACCTCCTGAATAGCTGGGACTACAGGCTTTTGCCACCATGCCTAGACAACATTTTACATTTTTTTCTGTAGAGATGGGGGCCTTGCTATATTGCCCAGGCTGGTTTTGAACTCCGGGCTTCAAATGATCCTCCCACCTCAGCCTCTCAAAGTGCTGGGATTATAGGCCTCAGCCACCACGCCTGGCCCCAACCATAAAACTTTGAACTGCCTGGGTCTTAAGGGAAACAGCTCATGAAGGACAAGCTCCTGGAACCACCATCCTCTCCTTCTGACTTAACAGCCTTTGCTGGGAGAACCAGGGAGGAGCTATGCCACTTTATTTCTTTTCTTTTCTTTCTTTCTTTCTTTTTTTTTTTCCAGATAGTCTTATACTATCACCCAGACTGGAGTGCAGTTGGCCAATCTCAGGTCACTGCAACCTCTGCTTCCTGAGCTCAAGTGATTCTCCCGTCTCAGCCTCCCGAATAGCTGGGATTACAGGTGTGTGCCACCATGCCTGGCTAATTTTTGTATTTTTAAGAGGGATGGGGTTTCGCTATGTTGGCCAGGCCGGTCTTGAACTCCTGACCTCAGGTGGTCCACCCACCTCGGCCTCCCAAAGTGCTGGGATTACAGGCATGAGCCACCGTGCCTGGCCTAAAGCTGTGCCACTTTCAAAGGGCACCAGAAATGGCTTGTGCCTGCAACCGAGCTGGTGGCTGCTGTGCTTGGCGTTACATCATTGTGTCAATCAGGTCTGAGACTCCCACCCTCCCTAAGTTAGGGAAGACAGGACTGACTGTGCCACAGGACAGTGACCTCACAACTGGGGCCTGCTGGAAAAAAAGGTGGCTTAGCTGGCCGGCTGGTGCCCTTTCTAGATTTTCCTTGGTCCACATGCCCAATAAGGGGATACGTTTTTTTCTTTTTCTGTTTTTTTTTTTTGAGACGGAGTCTCGCTGTGTTGCCCAGGCTAAAGTGCAGTGGTGCGATCTCGGCTCACTGCAAGCTCCACCTCCCGGGTTCATACCATTCTCCTGCCTCAGCCTCCCAAGTAGCTGGGACTACAGACGCCTGCCACCACGCCCGGCTAATTTTTTGTATTTTTAGTAGAGATGGGGTTTCACCATATAAGCCAGGATGGTCTTGATCTCCTGACCTCGTGATCCGCCTGCCTCAGCCTCCCAAAGTGCTGGGATTACAGGCGTAAGCTACTGCACCTGTCGGATAATTTTGGTGGATACTTTTCATTTTAAAAACCTGGTGTTAAATGGTGATCAAATTCATTAATCACCATACACATAGTCCACTTAAGTCACTGCATCTGTGACCAAGAGCTCCTGTAGAGGAATCAGGGAAGGATGCCAGGCCCAGGCTGCATGGCGTGGAGGTAAAGGGAGACATTAAGGTTGTAAGGACCAGAATAAGCCATTTTACAGCCTCCTTGCCAACTTTCCACTTCATTCAGAACGTCTAGGGTTATTCTGCACAAGTGGCCCGACAGAACCGGAAACTCATTTTTTTCTTTTCTTTTTTTTAAGACAGAGTTTCACTCTTGTCACTCAGGCTGGAGTGCAATGGCACCATCTCGGCTCACTGCAACCTCTGCCTCCCAGGTTCAAGTGATTCTCCTGCCTCAGCCTCCTGAAGTAGTTGGGATTACAGGTGCCCGCCACCACGGCCAGCTAATTTCTTTGTATTTTTAGTTGAGACAGGGTTTCACCATGTTGGCCAGGCTGGTCTTGAACTTCTGACCTCAGGTGATGCACACGCCTCGGCCTCCCAAAGTGCTGGGATTACAGACGTGAGTCATTTTTTATTTTCTATCATTTGCTCAACAAACATCCACTGCGTCTCTCTAATGTTCCAGACACTGTGTTGGGTGCTGGGAATACAATGGAGGGGAAGGAGGAGGCCCTCACTCAGCTTACAGTCCAGTAAGAGAGGCAGAAACAAGCAGGCACACAGATGAACATACAATTGCACACTGCAACAAGATCAAAGGAAAGAACTAGTGGTGTGACAGAGAATAATGAAAGCCTACTCTAGGGTGAAGGAAACAACTTTTTTTTTTCTTAATTTTGACAGGGTCTTGCTTTGTCACCAAGGCTGGAGTGCATTAGTATGATCACAGCTTACGGTAACCTCCAACTCCTGGGCTCAAACAATCCTCCCTCCTCACCCTCCAAAGAGTAGCTGGGACTACAGGCATGTGACGCCACACCCAGCTATGGAGAGACCAGGATTCTTTATGTTGCCCAAGCTGGTCTTGAACTCCTGGCCTCAGGTGATCTTCCCTCACATCTGCCTCTCAAAATGCCAGGATTACACGTATAAGCCACCACACTCAGCCAGAGGGGACACTTAACTGAGACCTACCTCTGTACCCAGCTGCAAAGAGAAGGCAAGAAGGGAGAAACCGATGGCCACCGAGGCCCCATCGCAGGCCCAAGTCTCACCTTGGAGAAGGCCGTCTTGGTTGCTGGGCGGATAGCTATGTGCTGATCCCCTGGGAATTTCTTCAGCCAAACCCTGTCTCCCTGCGGCAAAGAGGACGGGGGTAGGGAGCTCAGTCTCCTAAAATCCCATGATGGACCCCGGCCCCCCATTTCCATGGGCTCGCTGTCCCAGAATGCATCTTCCATGTGACAAAATGCATTGACGCAAGTGGTTTGATGTCTGCCCATCCGCTTCACAGGCAGCTGGGAGAGGACCCACCCCTGGATGACAGATATTCAGAAGCCATGGATGGCTGTCCTCACTACCCCAGGGGTGCCCACCAATAGTCCTATTAAGTGAATTAATACAACCACAAGCATCATCGACATCACAACCCTCATCACCATCCACTGCCATGAGAGAGCATGTTCTGGGAGTAAAGAATCTGGGTAGATCAGGCTTTACTGTAAAGTAACTGAACTATAGACAGCTCCCCTCCGGATGCTGGACCTCATCCTCAGCTGTTGGCAAGGCCGGGGCATGGGCACGGGACCTGTGCAGTCACACAGGTCCTCATGCTCAGAAAGGCCCGAACTTGGTTCAGTGACCTCCTGCCATCATCTTGAATGAACGAGGAGCCCCTCGTGTCTATCTGGCCCTGGATCTCGCTAATTTCGCAGGTAGCCCTGTCTGTTTATAAGGGATTTGGACTAGAAGGGGATTGGGGTTTAGTACTGACCCCTAAGGAGCATTTGGAAATAAATGTGGGGACATTTTTAATTGTCACAAAAACTAGGAGCTACATTTGGTGGACAGGGCCAGAGACAAGAAACACTGAACATTCTTCAAGGCACAGAGTAGTCCTATTCAATTTAGGACAATCTGCCCCAAATGACAGTAGTGCCTCCTCTGAGAATTGGCCGTGATAATCTCCAGGTGACATGATAGGAGCCGCTGCATTCCTTCCCATGACCTGAAGCCCAGGAGCTTTAAATTTCTACTCTCTTGATTTGCTCAGCACTCTCAGCTCTCTCTGAATCTGTTCTCATTATCTCCCCTCCACTTGACCACATTCAGATTTACCAGCCCCAAAGTTTATGTCCTAATACTTCTTTGTGACTTTCTTTTCCCCCTCTAGGGGTTGCTGTTCCTGAGTCTGGTCTGGATTGTGTGGAAATGCTGAGGGGTAGGGCCAGAGGCTCTGATCGGGTAGGAGATGGCCTCAGTGGCCACACCAGGTTACATGCTGGTCCCAGCATGCTCCCCAGCAGCTCCAGCCTTCAGTCTCTGGGTCACTGTGATCAGCTTTTGAGGAGCCCTTGCCCAGAGAGCGGCTAGGGAAAAATCCTTGGGGAGGGAAGATTCTTAGGTTCTTCCCTTTGAGGGATCCATGACCTTTCTCTAGATCCTGTCTGGGCTCCCATCCCCCATCTCCTGGAGCCTGCAGGATCTGGCATGACTCCCTGTCCTCTTGAGAGTGCGCCTCCCCTCTGCCCAGGGCCCGAGCATTCTTCCCCTACTGTCTCTCTGTCTGGCTGGGGTCAGGCCCACCTCATAGACGCCAACGTTGGGGCTGTCCGTGGGTTGGCTGGGGCCACTGCGAACGTCTGACATACTGCGGGCAGCCAGACTTGATCGACTCCCCTGGGCCACCTAGCAGGTAGAGGTCAATGCAAGAGGTCAAAATATATTCTGGTGTCAGAGTCCTGGGTTGAGGTCAGGCTGAGTTTTGGGGATGTAAAGATGGGAGGCGAAGGAATCTCAATGAGGGAAGGTGATGATGACATTACTCCCCAAGTGTACGCTTTACAGTTTACAAAGCAAACATTCATTTTCTTGTTGGAGCTTCACCTCCCACCCAGGAAAGTAGTCAGGACAGGTACTGTTACCCTCATTGCACAGATGAGGGTGCTGATCCCTACACTTCAGACTTGGGACAGAACTGGGGTAGAAATCAGTCTTCCCAAGTAGGGAGCTGGGGTGGGGACTTTCCCAGGGAAGTCCAAATTTACAGAAAGAAGACAACTGGCTCCTGCCTCCCTGCCTCCCCCACCTTTCGAGAGGTGCCCCCATGTGGGTGGAGAAAGGTGATGTCGTCCACAGTCAGGATGATCTTGTTGGGACCGGAGACCATTTGAATGTGAAGTAGCTGGTGCCTGGTGGAGAAAGAGGTCATCTCCACCAAGGGCACCAAGGTCCGTGAAAAGAGAGCAGCAGGGGATGGGGCGGAGGGATAATGCTGACTCAGGGGAGGGGTCCTGGAGGGCAGCCATCCCCAAACCAGACATCCCTGGGACTCTACCAGCCCACCAGAACCCCCTCACCCCAAGAAAAATATCTTCTACTCTTGAGTGAACCCAGACTGCTGTTTTTGATGCAGACTTCCATTTCTGGCACAAACTCACTTCCTACTTACCTCATTCCACTACTCACCTCACATAATGGGCCAGGAAGGCCCCAGCCAGCCCCATTCCAACCACCAGGAGGAAGCCAAGAAAGACGAGGCCCGGCTCCAGTCCTGAAGGGAAGTGACAGGAGGTATACTGAGGAGCGATACCAGGGAAGGCCTCTTCTCTAGGGAGGCATGGAGTCATGCCAAATGCTGGCCCTTCCAGGAAAGGGGGATGGGGGCCAGCATTTGGCAGGCCTATGACCTCTAGGGGGAGGTCATAGATTCCTCAAAGGGGAGAGTCTGGGAATGCTAGAAAGTTTCCAAGAGGGCTTTGGAGCTCAGCAAGAGAGGGGTCCTGTGCAAGCCAGGGGTGGGGAGAGGGCCTAGAAGGGCATCGAAGATGGATTACAGGATAGAGTCCACTCTCTTTCACCACTTCGTGGATGGTCCATGGGGATTCTCTCAGTGGGGGCTGGGGTGCTCGCCCTCACCTCCACCGCAGATGTTGTTTGGATCGAACCAGCACGAGGGGTCAGGTCCGGGTGCTGATCCCCCACGCGGGAAGTGCATCGGGGTCCCCGCGGAGAGAAGGGAGCCCCGGGTAGGATCCAGCATGTATGTGGCAAAAAGCCGGTCTCCCACCGCGTCCGTGTCTAGCAGCACGAATGGAGGCTCCTCGTCTCCTCCTAGGTCCCCGCAGAAGCCAGGGACCTGCGCATCCCAGACGTGGCGGGCCACAGCTGCTCCGGACACCCATCTGCCACCCGCGGCAGCCCGCGCTTCTGCCACGCCCCTCGCCAGCAAGAAGACTGCGTCGTAGATGGTGCCAAAGAGTGGGGAGACCTGGAGAAGGACAGTAGGGGCTCAGAGGTCGGGGTCACAGTCCACAGACAGACCAGAATTCCCTGGCCACGCCAATTCTTTCACAGCTGGTCAAGCCCAGGGTATCCACTGTTCCCACCTTCCAGTTAGTTGTTCCCAGGATCCCTCCCCATTGGCTATCTCTTCCTCCCTCCCCATTGGCTAACTCTTCCTCCCTTCCCATTGGCTATCTCTTCCTCCCTCTCCATTGGCTATCTCTTCCTTCCTCCCCATTGGCTAATGTTTCATCTCTCCCCATTGGCTGGCTCTTCCTCCCTCCCCATTAGCTAACTCTTTGTCCCTCCCCATTGGCTAACTCTTCCCCTCTTTCCATTGGCTATCTCTTCCTCCCTCCCCTATTGGCTGTCACACCTGCTCTCTCCACTAACTGGTTCCTCTTTTCAGGACTCAGCCTCCTCTCTGACCATTGGTTGATTCTAACTCTCCATCACCTGTAGATTCTCTCTTCTTCCTGTTGGTTGCCCAGAATATAGTTTTAATCTCATCACCTACCATTCACCTGAAAGCCTTCTCACCTATCTTTTGGTTGGCCTCTATTTTCTGTTTTTCCTTAAAAAAACAAAAAACAAAACTAAACAAAAACAAAACAAACAAAAAACCTTCTCCATTGTTACCACCCGAGCTTATCAGGCCTCTCTATTATTCCCATTTGCCATCTCTCAGAGAGCCAAGCACTGTGCAGAGCACCAAAGATGTATCAGTGTACAAGACAGACCCTGTCTCAAGGAACCTTTCTTCTTGCCAAAGAGACAGGGGTGTTCAGGCAGTGCAATGAGTAAAAGTAGAGAAACTGAGGGAGCTGTAGAGACAGGAATGGGTGTCTCCAACCTAGACTGGGGACAGAAGGAGCTGTGGGATGAGTCAGAATTATCCAGGGCAGGCAGGGACAAGAAAGAGGACACAGCACACTCAGAAGCTCAGAGGCAAAAGAGAAGGACACATTTAGAGAACCCAGAGTAGCTTGGTCTGGCTGAAGTTCATGGAAGGTAGAACAGAGAGAAAGACAGGAGAGCTGGTAAGCCATGTGGAGAGGCCTGCATCTATCCAGGGCAACAGAAGTCACTGTGAGGCTTTGAACAGGGGCACGACAGGGTGAGATCCATCAGATTTCTGAAGCTTGATCTGGTTGTCAGGTGGAGTAAGGTGTTGGGCAGGTGAGTGTTGAAGCAAAGACCGCCTGAGAGATTATGTTTTGGGATTTGGGCTGGGGGTGCTGTGGCCTGAATCAGGGCAGTGACAGTAAAGATGGAGAAAGTGGATGAATTCAAATGATCTTTAGGAAGTAACAGTAACAGGACTTGATGTCTGGAAGTGAGGGTGAAGAATTCAAGGAATCAAGGGTGACTCACAAGCTCAGAGGCTTGGGCAGCGGAGAGGACAGCCGTGGTACTTACTGAGAGCTGAAGGGCTTTTCTCTCTACTTTCTCAACCTCCTCTCTCCACTGCCGACCCTCCCTCCATCCCATCTCACTATGATTCCTAATCTCTATTCTCTTCTGACTATTCCCATCACTGCACCGCCCTGCCTCCACTGGCCACCTCCAGTCCTCTTGGAGGAATCTAGGGGCATTGGTGGGAAATTGCAACCCCTATGACCCATAGCCTTCTCTCGTGCAGCCCCCTGTGAGTTGGGCCTTTGTGGTGGTTAATTCACTGCCCATTGACATCTAAATTCCCTTCTCATAGTGGTTTCTAGTCCTCCTTTGTGGCTGGAGTAAAGTTAGATGATCTGAACTGGGATTCTGGGGACTTGGGGAACCCTAGGTAGTAGCTGGATGTTGGAAATACACTATGGATCTGGTGCGGATTGCCCCCGGATCCACCCAGGGGACTTTCTGCTTCTTGCAAGGTGTCTAGGCCCTTGAAAAGCTAAGACCACCAGATGATGCCCCAGAGGAAATACCTCTGAACTAGGGATGAAGGTTGGATTGGCATCCTCCCTCCTTCCTGCTTTCAAGAACACCAAGTATTTATTTTAGACGGCTGGGAGTATGTGGTGGTGGAAATGGGTTTACTTTGGAGTCAATTGCAAGGTTTTGCAGTTGACAGTTCATTAGAGCTTACTGCTTGATGTTGGACTTGAGAGGTCTCATTGCCTACTCTCTAGAGGCAATCCCCATACCCTAAGAGATCCCAAGCAGGGCCAGAGCCTCTGCATTACCCAGGAAAGTCCAAACAGCTAGAGCTGCCAGTGGTTCTTTCTCCATTGGCTCCATCCTCCTCTCCCCGCTTTGGCTGTCCTCTCCCCTCTCCCTTGCCTTCTTCCCTCCTCCCAGGACCTTCTACCTGCTGCAGATTGAGGTCAGAGGGCAGCTCGCGGCGCTCTTGGGCCCGGCGCAGGCTGTCCAACACGCTGCCTTCAGAGGGACAGTGGCGCGTGAGGGTGAGCACGGCATCATGGGCCCTGCGAAGCTGGGAGCTGTTGGCGAGTGCAGCTAAGGCCTCCGGGCCTGGGGACAAGGCGTAGTGGATTGTGTCGAAGGGCAGGAAGACCAGGGAGCCATCGGTCAGGCCCAGTTCCTCCGCGGCCTCCAGGAGGTAGCGCTGCTCCTCGCCGCCCAGCAGCACCGAGTGCATCACCATGATCACTGCTGCGGACAGAGGCTTGGCTCGCGGCGCCGCCCAGCTGCCAGCAGCACCCGCCGACCTCCTCGCACCCTGCAGGGGAGCCTACCTGTGACCCTGGGCCCGTCCCGAACTTTCCTCAGGGCCTCCCGGGCTCCAGACAGGTCCAAGGGCTCCATGGAAGTCACGGAGGTGACGGGCAGGCCCCGGGCCCTGAGTGCCGTGGACAGTGAGTGTCCCGCCTCCACCCACAGGTCCTGGGGGGCGGTGACCAGGGCCACGCGCGCCCAGCCGAATGCGCGAAGCAGGGCGTAGAGGGCGTCCGCGGCGGGGGTCACGGCAGGGGCTGTGGTGCCCGCCGCCTGCGTCCCGGGGCAGCCCCAGGGCACCAGCGCGATCCCGGCTTCTTCGGCGAGCAGCTCGGCCGGCCGGCAGGCCGCAGGGTTCACCGGACCCACGAGACCCGACACGCGGGCCAGCGCGGAGGACACGGCCCCCAGCGAGCCCGGCGTCCGGCAGGGCTCGGGCAGCAGCGCGACCTCGAAGCGGGGGCCGCCGGCCAGGTCGGGGTCGCGGTTCAGGCGGGCGGCGGCCAGGCGGGCGGCCAGGTCCGCGCGGGCCCGGGAGAAGATGGGGTCGCAAGCCCAGGGGCCCAGGACCCCCACCGTGAACACCGCGGAGAGGGCGGGGGGCTGCAGCAGGAGCAGGAGCAGCAGGAGCGGGAGCCGGGGCAGGGCCCGGGGGAGGCGGGGCAGGGCCGGAGCCCACCGCACGGGGCCGCAGAGCCTGGGGTCCGGAAGCCCACCCGCTCGGCGGGCGCAGGCGGTCATTGCCGGCTTCTGCGAACACAGACGGAGAAGGCTGAGCGACTGAGACCCCCGGCCTCCTTCAGGGTTCTCCCCGTAACCCAGAGTTTCTCCAAGCCCGAGTAACCCATGGGATGATTCTGCTGCTACCGCCCCCTCCGGAGGCTGGGAAGACTAACTGGGGCCAAGGACACCGCCCCGAAGCCCCCTTCTGCCGCCCTGGCTTCCCGCTCCCATCCGGCTTGCCCCTCCCCCCGTTGGAGGCGTCAGGGGTCAGCAGGGACTCGCCCGCGCCCTCAGACCGACCCTATCCCCGCGGAGGGGCCTCTGACACTTACCGGGAAGTCCGGGGCTCGGGCCCACGGCCCCGGTGAGGGGTCACAGGGCCGGTCCCCCTTTTGACGCCCGCCCACAGGTCTTCCTTGCCAGCCCAGGCCAGGGCGGGGGCGTGGATACAGCCGGCCAGAGCCCTTAATCTCCCCAAGCTGATTAGGGTCCTTAATTAGGCAGGGAGGGGCGGGCTAGTGGAGGATGAGAGCCCCTACTGCGCCTTTCTGGGGTGGGATCTGTCCTGGGTTCCAGGTAGTCAGCCCTCCGATCCTTTCCCTTCCATGCCTTCCAGCCCCCCACATCACCCTCATCACCACCACCCCTGCACAAAAGCAGCCGCAGGTTCCCCTTTCAGCCTTGGGCCACACTGCTCTGCTCAGCCAGAAAATGACAAGCACCTGCCCTTGGGCAGCTGTGGGTGATCCGTCCTGGAGAAGAAACTCTGAACTCAGTCCCTTTCCTTACAATCTTCTGTTTCCAGTTCTGCCAGCTAAGTTCAAGCTCCATCCTTTGGCTGGCAAAGTCTATATCCCAGAGACCAAACCCACACCAAGCTGACACCTGCCTTTCTTCTTTCACTGCTCTTCTCTCTCTCACCACACTTGATTCTCTGACCTCTGCTTCTCCATGCCTAGAAAACCACCCCTTTGGCAGGACCTCAGGAAGTAATGAAAAGAGCTTTGGCCTCGGACAGACCTGGGTTTCAAGTCCCTCTTACTGATTTTTGGACCTTGGACAATTGCTTAATCTGAAGGTTGTTGTGAAAATGAATATAATTGCCCGGATGGCAAGAATAGCTAACAATTTTAGAGAAGAGTATAATGGAAGATGCCCTATAAGATATACAAATTTATTATAAAGCAATAGCAATTATATATGTATGTAAATATATAATATATAAAACATAGCAATTATATAAATATGTAATTATATAATATATGAAGCAGCAATTATATAAATATATATTCTAAAGCCATAGCAATTATATATTATATATTTATATAAATCCACATTATGTAGTGATAGCAATTATATATTTATATAAATATTTATTATAAAGCTATAGCAATAAAGACTTCATAGTTTGGGCACAAGGATAAACAAATGGACCAATGAAATAGAATCTACAGTACTGAAACAAGCACAGCAAATGTGTGAAGTGGACATTTCTTACCAACTGGGAAAGAATGAACTTCAACAAATAGAGCTGATTAGCCATCTGGGGGGAAATAGAATTCAATCACTATCTCACACCATACACAAAATCTATTCCAGGTCAAAGACCTATATGTGAAAAATAAAACTTAAAAACTTTTAAATAAATCATTTTCAGACATGGTGGCAAAGATTGGATAAGGTAAGAATCATTAGTGGATTTGAAAGCTAGGGGGAAGTGTTGGATGAGGAGAAGGACTTTTGCAGGGTCTAAAAGTATTTCCCTACAGATTGCCATGAGTTGGAAGGGAGGGGGGAATAAAATAAAAAACATTCATTGTTTTGTACAGTGGAGAAATAGGGCAATACTTTAAGCAAGTGATCAGAATTAACCATGAGGGGCAGAGAGACATTCTGTGCCTCCAGATGTGATACCCTGAGAAGGACATAATACTACATCTATGCAATGCTGCACAATACATCTCTGCAATGTTCCAGCATTACTTCAAATCTAATCACAAGGAAACATCAGATAAACACTAAATGAGAAATGTTCTATTAAAAAATGTGGGGAGGACTGCATTCTTCAAAAATGTCGATGTCATATAAGGCAAATAGAGGTTGAGGAACTGTTTCAGATTAAAGGAACCTAAAAAAACATGACAAGTATATGCAACACCTCCCCTTAGTTTGGATTCTGTATCATTGGATTTTTTAAAAGTGCTATCAGGTTATAGAACTTGAGGCCGGGTGCCGTGGCTCACGCCTGTAATCCCAGCACTTTGGGAGGCTGAGGCAGGCGGATCACTTGAGGTCAGGAGTTTGAGACCAGCCTATCCAACATGGTGAAGTCCCATCTCTACTAAAAATACAAAAATTAGCCAGGCGTGGTGGAGTGTACTTGTAATCTCAGCTGCTCAGGAGACTGAGGCAGGAGAATCACCTGAACCTGGGAAGCGGAGGTTGCAGTGAGCCAACATTGTGCCACTGCATCCCAGCCTAAGCAACAAAGCGAGACTCCATTTCAAAAAAAAAAAAAAAAGAAAAAGAAAAGAAAAATGGTTATAGGGCTTATGGGGTTATAAAAATGCTATAAAGAACATCAACATTAACCAAAAAGTTGGCAATTGACAAAATTGGAATATCACAGGAGATTCAAAACAGTGTAAAGTTATAAAGTTAGTAATGATAGTGTAGTTATGTTAGACTATCCCTGTTCATAGGAAATACACACTGAAGTATTTAGTGGTAAAGCATCATGTATGTAACTGACCCTCAAGTAGTCCAGAAAAAATATATATTAGATATGATATATGGTATGTTGTATATATTATCTATTTCAAATGATAAACAAATGGGGTAAAATGCTAACAATAGGTGAATCTGGGTAAAAAGCCTGTGAATGTTCTTTGCGTAATTTTTATTTTTGCAACATTTTTAAAGTTTGAAATTATTTCCAAATAAAAAGTTAATTAAAAATGTTAGATTATAGAATTCAATGAAAGTAGATCTGCTCTGAAGAACAACAGAAAAAGAAAAAATAAATAAGAAAATAGAAAAATAAAAAAAGAGCAGAAATTTTTAAGAGAAAAAAAGACATAGATTGAAAAGACATCTTTATCAATTCAGGGTAGGAATGGACTTTTAAACAAGACACGTTGGCCGGGCGCGGTGGCTCATGCCTGTAATTCCAGCACTTTGGGAGGCTGAGGCTGGCCTCCCAAATATATTTGGCAAAATATTAACATCAGTTAGTTTTTGGTGGTAAACAATCGCTATATGTAGGGGTTTTCTGTATGCTTGAAATGTTTTCTAATTTAGATTTAAAAAAACTTGTAAACAAAAAGTTTAGATGTCTGACCTGTAGCAGAGTTCCAAAATTCAGTAGGCGTCAATATTCATATCTACAGTGCTGTGCTTTTTACTTTCCATAAGAGTTACCTCCCCACATCTCCTATCTTCTGACTCAACATCTCTACATGAAATGGTGGAAACTCCAGCCAACTCTTACATTTCACATATGGTGAAAATGAGGTCCAGAGACCAATTTGATTAAATCAACAATCTCCCAATTTTCCTCTAGGGTCCATGGACTGATGGGTAATAGAGATGAAGATGAAGGGGGGATTTTTAAAAAAATCTTTTTTGTCATAAAATATACTTAACATTTACCACTTTAACTTTTTTTTTTTTTTTTTTTTTTTTTTGAGACAGAGTCTCACTCAGCCGCCCAGGCTGGAGTGCAATAGCGCGATCTCGGCTCACTGCAACCTCCGCCCCCCGGGTTCAAGTGATTCTTCTGCCTCAGTCTCCTGAGTAGCTGGGACTATAGGCATGTGCTACCACGCCCGGCTAATTTTTGTATTTTTAGTAGAGACGGAGTTTCACCATGTTGGCCAGGATGGTCTCGGTCTCTTGACCTCGTGATCTGCCTGTCTCGGCCTCCCAAAGTGCTGGAATTACAGGCATGAGCCACCACGTCCGGTCTCCACACTTTAACATTTTTTATGTGTACAATTCAGTGAGGTTAATTACATTCACATTGTGTGCAACCATCACCAGTGTCCATCTCCAGAACTTTTCCATCTTACCCAATTGAAACTCTGTGTCCATTAAATACTAGCTCCCCATTTCCCCTCCCTCCAGCCCCAGAAACCACTGTTCTTATTATTTTTTTTCTTTTTATTTTTTAGAGACCAGGTCTTGCACTGTTGCCCAGGCTAGAGTACCATAGCACGATCTCTGCTCACTATAGCCTCAACCTCCTGGGCTCAAGCAATCCTCCCACCTCAGCCTCCCAAGGAGCTGGGATTACAGGCGTGTGCCACTATGCCTGGTTAGTTTTTTGATTTTTGGCAGAGATGAGGGTCTCACTATGTTGCCCAGGCTGGTCTCCAACTCCTGGGCTCAAGTGATCCTCCTACCTCAGCCTCCCAAGTGCTTGGGATTACAGGTGTGAGCCACTGCCCCCAGCCCATCATTCTTTCTGTCTCTATGAATTTGACTTTAGCTACCTCACATAAGTAGAATCATACAGTATTTGTCCTTTTGTGTCTGTTTATTTCACTTAGCATGATGTTTTCAAGGTTTATCCTATGCTGTAACGTATCAGAGTTTCATTCCTTTTTTTTTTTTTTTGAGACAGAGTTTCTCTCTGTCACTCAGGCTGGAGTGCAGTGGGGCAATCTCAGTTCACTGTAACCTCAGCCTCCCAGGTTCAAAGCAATACTCATGCCTCAGCCTCCTGAGTAGCTGGGATTACAGATGCGCATCACCATGCCTGGCTAATTTTTGTATTTTTAGTAGAAATGGGGTTTCACCATGTTGGCCAGGCTGGTCTCAAACCCCTGACTTCAGGTCATCCTGTCGCCTTGGCCTCCCAAAGTGCTGGGATTACAGGTGTGAGCCACCAAGCCCCACCTGACTCCTTTTTAAAGCCAAATAATATTCCATTGTATGTACAGTATATACCACATTTTATTTATCCATTCATTCTTCTATGGACACTTGGCTTGCGTCCACCTTTTGGTCTCTGAGTCCCTGCCTTCAGTTGTTTTGGGTATATACCTAGAAGTGGGATTGCTGGATCATATAATTCTTTTTTAAAATAAGTATTTTATTTTATTTTATTTTATTTTTTGTGTTAGGGTTTCACTCTGTCACCCAGGCTGGAATGCAGTGGCTTGACCTCAGCTCACTGCAGCCTCCATCTTCCATGTCCAAGTGATTCTCCTGCCTCAGCCGCCTGGGTAGGTGGGGCTATAGGCATGCGCCACCATACCTGGCTAATTTTTGTATTTTTGGTAGAGATGGGGTTTCTCCATGTTGGCCAGGCTGGTCTCAAACCCCTGACCTCAGGTCATCCTCTCACCTTGGCTTCCCAAAGTGCTGGGATTACAGGGGTGAGCCACCAAGCCCCACCTCACTCCTTTTTAAGGTCAAATAATATTCCACTGTATGTACAGTATATACCAAATTTTATTTATCCATTCATTCTTCTATGGACACTTGGCTTGCGTCCATCTTTTGGTCTCTGTTTGAGTCCCTGCTTTCAGTTGTTTGGGGTATATACCTAGAAGTGGGATTGCTGGATCATATAATCCTTTTTTAAAATAAGTATCTTATTTTATTTTTTTGTGGCAGGGTTTCTGTCACGCAGGCTGGAAGGCAGTGGCTTGACCTTGGCTCACTGCAGCCTCTGTCTTCCAAGTCCAAGTGATTCTCCTGCCTCAGCCTCCCGAGTAGCTGGGGCTACAGGCATGTGCCACCTCACCTGGCTAATTTTTGTATTTGTGGTAGAGACGGGGTTTCACCATATTGGCCAGGCTGGTCTCGAACTCCTGACATCAAGCAATCCACCCACCTTGGCCTCCCAAAGTGCTGAGATTACAGGCGTGAGCCACCGTGCCTGGCCTGGATCATATAATTCTATGCTTGATTGTCTGAGGAACTGACACACTGTTTCTACAGAGCCTGTGCCATTTTATATTCAAGGAGCGGACTATTTTAAATCCATTCTAGTCCTCATGCCAAGGTTGCACAGCCAGCCTCCCGCCACCACACTGCTTTTCACTTCTAGTGGCCCACACCAGAGCTTGTTTGTTTCTTATTGTTGCCTGCTAAATTTCGATTCCATCTGTAAGGTAGTGAAACAAAACATGCCCTCTTACATAAAGGGCGGGGCCAAATCTTAAAGTA